AAGGAATTTTATTACTGCACCTTTAATTAACACCCACACAAGTGTTAGTCAATGAGGTCCCTTTTATCAAAAAAATGGATTCTGAAACTAACTGTTCCTGACATAAGCTTCATATCGATACCTTTTTTGATTTATCTTGTATTGAAATTCCGTTTGCGTTGACCCTACCTTTGATAAATGATACAGTATGTCAAAAAAAATTGAATAACAATGCACCATGCAGCTTTTTCAACATTCTAGGTTTCATAAGTGATGCTAGAGACAAGAATTGTTGAAATACAAATTGGTGTAAACTACTGTTGAAGCAGAAAGGATGTGCATGAAACCCCTGAACTATATGAATTTTATAAATTACAGGAGTACTGCTTAATTTCAAATTAATAACGAGTAAAGTGTGTATATTAGAAACCGTGCCACTACACGAAGGGGCCATCAAGGTTACAGCAACCCTCGAGTACTAAACAATCCAACAGTGGGGTTTACCAATGAGGCCATCAATGTTACAGCAACCCTCGGGCACTAAACAATCCAACAGTGGAGTTTATCGACGAGGCCATCAAGGTTACAGCAATTTTCGGGCACTAAACAATCCAACAGTTGAGTTTACCAATGAGGCCATCAATGCTACAGCAACCCTCGGGCACTAAACAATCCTGCATTGGAGTTTACCAATGAGGCCATCAAGGTAACATCAATCCTCGGGTACTAAACAATCCAACAGTGGGGTTTACCAATGAGGCCATCAAGGTTACAGCAACCCTCAGGTACTAAGCAATCCAACAGTGGAGTTTACCAATGAGGCCATCAAGGTTACAGCAACCCTCGGGCACTAAACAATCCAACAGTGGAGTTTACCAATGAGGCCATCAAGGTTACAGCAACCCTCGGGCACTAAACAATCCAACAGTGGAGTTTACCAATGAGGCCATCAAGGTTACAGCAACCCTCGGGCACTAAACAATCCAACAGTGGAGTTTACCAATGAGGCCATCAAGGTTACAGCAACCCTCGGGCACTAAACAATCCAACAGTGGAGTTTACCAATGAGGCCATCAAGGTTACAGCAACCCTCGGGCACTAAACAATCCAACAGTGGAGTTTACCAATGAGGCCATCAAGGTTACAGCAACCCTCGGGCACTAAACAATCCAACAGTGGAGTTTACCAATGAGGCCATCAAGGTTACAGCAACCCTCGGGCACTAAACAACTCACCAGTGGAGTCTACCACCTTGTATCCTGAATGACGAACCTAGGACACAAACATGTAACTGCACCTTCGATATTTGGTAATATATATTACATGCTAAAACTGAATTTCATCACCCCTTTTTCGTCCCTCTGAGACTCGTCGGTAATACCTGGGGTCGAAAAGTCGGGAATCAAAATGGGTATATACACAGATAAAACAGTTTTAATTTCATTAAACAAGATAGATCGTATGATAATTGTACGGAGAAAGGTACTGCATTTGACAGAGAGCAATGTGATGCTACACTTGAAATGACGTCCTAAAATGAATATTAACCTGCGGTTTCTACATCGAGTTAATATCACATATCTTTGACTTCCACGTGATTATGGTCCAACCAATGAGGATGTATGGAAACTGTATGGCACCTTTTCATATCTGTCATAGTGTGAAAGATATCAGGGTTTTTTTCAAGTTGAAATAATTTGATATCTCACATGCAAAATGTATGAAAATATAAACCCATGACACTACTGCACCGTTAAAAGTTCTAACAAAAACACACATTAGTGTTGAGGATAAAAGAGTTATCCTGATTCTACCTCACAAGTATCTGGCAATCAGCTGTACCAAATGACAATTGATACTACGCATCATTCCATTACAGGTAAAAGACGTAGAGTACTAACAATGAGACACAACCCATTGATAGGAAGGCAAAGAGCTACCGAGTATCGGTTTTGTCGACAGGGATTACATGTATTGGAGACGATAAATGCCTCCAGAAGGGATTGGATGTGTTTGATTGACAGGTAGGTAGCGCGCCATTGACAATCTGCCTGTGCTACGATAAACAGCTATTGCTGGGTGTAAACGGCCTACTCAATACGAATTGACACACGCCTCCTGTTAGTGTGTACGCTTCCGATCCAATTAGCATCAAACAGTTGTGAGAAGTTAAGTGTTGTAGCGAATACAGTAGCTGCGGTGACTGAAGATTACTGACAATACCGTTCAGAATTCTGGTAGCAACTACACATGTACCTGCTAGTCACTTTATTTAACTTACTCAGTCCAATATATTGAAAAACGATACTGTTAACTGACACTTACGTTTGAATACAAAATTGGAAAGACCTTGATGAAAAGTCATATATGATGAAAAAAATTAAGATACAAATATGAAAAATCCAAAACAAATATCATCAATCTAATAAAAACGGAAACGAATGACAGATTCTTTTTATCATATCATGCAAAGTAAACTGTATAATTGTGATCTGAAACGAATATTTTGCACTTGGGCGCCTCACAATGACGTGACGTCACGTTGATTGCGGCAACTGCACTCATATCTATGAGATCTGCCGCAGTAAGTAGAAGAAGAAGAAGATGGTTCCTTCCCGATTGTGACGTCATTTCCGGAGGGATATTACACACGTTACCTAAACATAGTTATGTGATTGCTTCATGGCACTGCATAACACGGTATTCATATGATAAAATATGTTATATAGCTATGATTTGATGCTATTTAACAGCAGTTGTAATCAGACCATGAATCTAAGGAATAATTGAAGAAACACTACTACCCTGAATCCCTGCAAACTTAATACTTCACCAATTTGTAAATTGAATGAAAGACGAAATAGAAAATGGCCTACTAAGTTGTGATATATTATTAACTGCGCATCTATCTAAGTAAAAAAAAAAAAAAAAATCGACGATAACTGGAAAAAGCCAATGTTGAATATTTGATAATTTTTAAAGCTGACATGATTAAGGATGTACTTTTTTTGAGGTTTCAATCACGTTCAAGTCTCGTTTTGATCTGGTGTAACGGGGTTTTTGTAATATTTAACAAATTATGATCCCAATCATAGCACAAAAACGAACACACCGACATATAGTTTTTTTTTGCATTTTCTACTATGCCATTAACTCCTTTTTCCAAAAATCCATATTAGAAAAAAAGTTTAATACACGAAATTTTTGACTTCTCGGAGGTGTACATCCTTAAGGATGTACTCTTCTGAGATTTCAGTCACGTTCAAGTCTCGTTTTGATCTGGTGTAACGGGTTTTTGTAATATTTACCAAATTATGATAGGTATAATAGCAAACACACATCTGAAAAACATGTAAAAAAACTAGATGTCTGTTGTGTGTAGAACATTTTTTACAAGAATTTTTAAAAAAAATGACCAATTTGGCGGCCATTTTGAAAAAGTGTATTTATGTGAATTTCTTGCGCTTCACAAAGGGCCAAATTTCTCCTTTTTTGACACTAGATTGATCACTTAAATTGTCATTGTGTCACCATTTTTAATTGTAGCAGGTTCGATTTTGCTGTACAACTTTATAATGTTCAATATGATTAAAATAATATGCAAAAAGTGGAAAGTTAAATATTATTGATATTTTTTTTTACATATGAGGGAAACTGAAGCTCTTTTGATTTTTGACCCCGAAAAAGGTGAAAAATAACACAAATGATAATGGGATAAAAAAAGAAGCACACCGACCCCCCATTTTTGTGGCTGTTCTAGAAAGAGAAACATATTTTCTTTTGATTCATTGAATACCAAAAAAAGTTTATTACAGGATTTTTTTATATCAAGCGTTTAATCGGCAAAAAATGGTGAAAAATGTGCATTTTTTCATTAAAAAATAAGGGGTAGGGGTAACTGAAATCGCATTTTTCAGTAAAATGAATAAGTTTAAGACATTTTACTTCCATAGTTTCAAAGAAAATAATATTTTTATCAATTCTACAAACATTCATACATATCTGATAACACACTTGGAAGAAATTGTATGAATTTGTTCTGCAAATGGTCAAAACCCGAAAATTCACCTAAAATCACATATTGTGTTAAATTGGTATCTTTGACCGATCATAGCACAAAAACGAACACACCGACATATAGTTTTTTTTGCATTTTCTACTATGCTATTATCTCCTTTTTCCAAAAATCAATATAAGAAAAAAAGTTTAATACAGGATTTTTTTGACTTCTCAGAGGTGTACATCCTTAAGTAAATGAACGAGACTAATGATAGTATCATCCCAGCTTAACTGTTAACCAATAACAACTAATATCTGTAGTTATATACACGGCCACCAACAAACATTGTACAAGACTAAGTGCACATATTGGGCACACATAACACTTCTCTTTTTTCCCCAGTTAGTTACGTATTTGTCACTGTAAAAACCTTTGTCATATCCGCACACATGTTTTCCTAAACAACACAAGTACAGGATGTTCATCACCTTTGTCTTGAACCACCTTTATAATGTCCTTCGTTAATGTTTCGCCGACACAACACATCTTTCAAATTAGTCATTTACAAAATCCGAGAGATATTTTTTTCTCTTTAGCATCATTTTCATACACAAAATTAAATAACGTCCTTTGTATATGTTTGTCCTACAATCATGCGTGGATAGATATGGCAGACGACATTTATGACAAATGAGTTGGACAGAACTTTAGATTGGTCCTTCAGTAGTCCTCTCATCTGCGGACACGGACGTTATATGACTTTACATGTAGCCGAAATCAATCAATCAGTCTGGGACTAGAAACGCATGCAATACATGTAAATCATTATCTGTAGAACGAGGAAAGCGCTCCTGAATTAACACATAAACTGACATCCGTCGAGTAGCTAGCCTTGGCAAACTTATTTGATATTCATTGGTGTATATCGTTTATTGTCAATCATGTGATAAAACACATGTAGTTTTTTTTTATGTATGAGCACATTTACTTTATGTGTATACACGTGCCTACGTGTGTAACACGCCATACATCTATTTGGCAGTGTACCTGTCACACTGGACACGGTAATAATGAGTCTGCCTGGACGTCACTATTCCCAACAGACCGGCCAGTTAGGGATACGGTAGTGCGGATCATGGTCGACAGCCTTTATGTTCTAGGCTGTCCATCGTGAGCATCCGACTTCTATCACAGCACTGTTGAGCCATGCGTCGCCCGCCGTGGGTAGTTTGGGCTGTCCTGTTGGGGGTGGCTCGGGTAACGGCTTTCCATTTGGCCGAGAAGCCGGAGGTAAACGCTGCTTTAAGTCATAAGGACGAGATCGTCAGGCTCCACAACGGGTACCGGGGACTGGCAGGCGCCGCCGACATGCGCGAACTGGTAAGGACATCACTTTGTGTTGTATAAAACTTGTTATTGAAAGGGTGTAAATGAATTATACTCACGGATTATCAGTATGTCTAATTGTAACGGTTGCCGTAGGGTTTCCCCTCAAGAACATAACTCTCGACAAGGAGCAAATTTATAATAGTTATACGGAAATATATTTCTCCAAATGTTGTGTTCTCATATTGATTCAAAAGTTGCGAAAAGTAAAAGTTGTAGATATCCAAGTTAATATTTATTATGTATATCAACATACAGTTATAACAATGTACAATAACGAGAAAACATCGAATACAATATGGCTTCAATTATTTATCAACGTTTTAATTGATGACTATTTCCACGCATGTACGTGTTTTCTGACCCAAAGCTTACATGACATACTGTCGTGCTGAGATACCCAGTGAACGCTCGTAAGGTCATAGTCCTTACCTATTTGTCAAACAGAAGATATTCATAACAATTAAGGTTGTAATGTGTTTTTATAGACCATGTATATGTGGCAAGGAATGAAATGTAAATGCGATGTCATATTGCTTTAAATCTAGATATTTTCAGTTGTAACAATTCTGCTTACTTTAAACTATGTATATTGACATTTTGGTTAAATACGACAATAGGGCTATTCCGGGGTTATAATGGAACATCGGCTTCGTGTCATGGCGTCATATATCTGAAATATGGCAACCGAAAATGACCTAGGCTTGATACCATGCAACAGTGTGATATATTAGTCCAAATTGTTGACTGTGTGTAAGGATTATTAAATAAAGCGTTGTGTAAGGCTGCTTGAAACTTTGGTGATGCATGTAATTTTAAACTTGACTTGAGAACACGTACTATCAATAAAATATGTCTAGGATTTAAGGCCGGTTGTCAATTTTCTCGGATAACAAATTTAAGATCACTGTACATGCAAGAATAATAGACATCAGCTTAAAATACATCATGCAAGTATGTATACCATTAAATAACTATCACTATTGACATATGTTTACCATACACATGAAACCAGACCCACAATAAACTATGCCATTGGCAGACAGTTTATATTGTATGACAAAATTCACAAGCTACATGTAAATAGGACATTCTGTTATCACTATTTTACCGTAATATTGAATTTAATTAAAAGTACCATGCGATCAACGGTTGTAATGATGGATAAATACGCTGACATGTCAATCCAAAATGACACAAAACGTTGCTGTCTAACCGGAAGTGATGTCCACGTGTTAGATAATATAACCATTCAAGTTGTACCATTGTCCTTTCCTAATAGGTTAAGCTGTGACAGTAATTTCAGTTTCTCATGCAAAAGTTATAGCCTGATGCATTTCCAAATCTTTATAATCTGAAATTATTTTCTAGGTAAAAATACACTAACAGTTACTCAGCCGGACAGTGTACATTATAATAACCATATTAGGTAAAGCTGTGTGAACCTACGAAGCAGAATAGCGTTATGAAAGTAACGCGATAAATAAAGTACACTATTGTTTAACGTAGGAGACAGAGAAGTAATAAAAACTACTTACAAAGAACACTCAATGACCTTAATCTGTTTCACTGTAATCTACTGACTCGCAGAACTAAGATACTTGTTTAATTAACTCCGATTAGCCGTTGACTGAGTTCTTGTCGGCAATTCTCCTGTGAGTGCTTACACTTCCTGCATGGAAGATAAATCACCCGAAACCCGTCACCACCATTTAAAAAAGATAGAGTAAAACGTGACAGAGGGAGTCATGAAAGATAGAGAATCAGCGAAGATTTAACCTCTTGCAATTCTAAGGAACGCTATGATCACAAGTGTTTTCAAGTAAGCTACCAACAGGAAATCGATATAAGTATAGGATATTGTGTTCAATAGGGACTCGGCGTTCCTTTATGGTGTTAAAAGGAGCGATATAAGCATCACTATAGACTGACTGAATTATCAAATAAATTTATTCTTTCCCTAACTGTATATCTTGAAGGATGTAAAGTGATATATATGCCATGTGTACAACGAAGACATGTCAATGTATTTATTGTGCTGAATAGGCAGATTGTCAGTTTTTTGTAACACTCTTACGAAGTATTCATTGTAATGACGTCATAACCATCGAAATTTTGACGTCACGTCATGTATATTGTCATAATTATCAATGATTGGTAGTACTTGATGAAAAACACACAAATTAGGATTTAGGTTTTTTAATTGTAATTGTAAAACATCTGTACGCAAAATGAATCAACCAATCAATGTATTCACTGTATGGCAGACAGCACAGTTGTCTGTACGCATTATTAAATAACCAAGCAGTAACGTTTTATTGTCTGACATGGTATTCTGTACGCAAAATAAAAGACATTTATTTCATAACACCGTTATATGGACGCGTAATGTTTAAATCAGGCAATTTATTGATTGTAAAACACAGCAAACTGTACGCTTGATGAAATAACCAAGCAATTCACTCCATTTCTGTTATCAAAGAATTTGTTTCCTCATTAAATATTAAACAACATCATTAGTTGTGAATTATGTGAATCTTCTCAAAACAAATGTTCTTTTATTATCGACCCATTTCCCTGATTACAGAAGGCAATCGAAAAAAACACTATACAGAGATAATTGGTCCAATTTGAAAATACCAATGAATGAAAATCATTGAAGCTATAATTCGAGGAACACTGAGCGAAAAGGTTTGTTGTTGTAGAAAGATGTGACAATCTTACTGTTGGGAGAACATTATTTTACGTAATCTGTCAATCAAACAAATTGTATCCTGCGATGATCTAGTATTACATTCTTTAAATTCTTTCTGATATTACTCATAAATCAATATTGTATTGTAAAAAATAGTGATCATTGATAATTGTGATCAGTTTTACGTTATTTTCAATTTATGCAAATTGTTGTGAAAAACTCTTTGTAATGTTTTGATTACTTTTTCCCAATCTCCTAACTTATGCAGTACGGAATATTTAAGTCAGTCAAACTTAAATCGCAACGATTTCAGGACAAAATGATCACCAGATTACCAGACCGAATGATGATATGTGTATATCGTGGAACTAAATATAACACCCTTCCACTATTAGTGTCAACCAAACGGTCCAAATACTTGCGCGCCATCTCGTTGACACGAATAGCTTGTGATAGTTGGGTCATTTTTTTAACATGGACATTCGACCATTCATCAAATATGTCTGCTGCCCACTTTCACACCAAGGTAAGGACAATATTTAGTGACGTCCTTCTATGTCTGACGAAGCATCTCACAATACAAGGAAGTTTCATTGTAGAATGTCACAACATCGTAAAAATGTACACCGCCGGTGAATAATTGATAACTAAAACAAACAATATTAGCACGCAACGTACCTATTCCGTAACCCAGTATGTAACACAAACTGATACATATTCTCGAACATGCAGATTTGTTGGTAAATTTGTATTATTTGATCAACAAAAAATCCTCGTTTATTGAAGCAAACTATATCAGCTCACCTATTTATGTTATAAGACGGTGTACGTCCATCACCTTATGGATGTACATTTTGTTATGATACAACAGCCGATTACCGGTATGTGCTGCTTTTAATAACAAAACATATATGTTATTCAAACAAACGACGTATCCTAGGTTTTAATGAGACAATACATTTCCCCGTTGTTTACATGGGGAGGGAATGACACGTTCGGTTGTCAGCCATGATTAGCTTCCGACAGGTGACAATCACATACTATGTCAGTGACTAAAATATTACTTTATTACAGCCCCTGTCGTAGTGCACCATCATGCATTCAATACTTCGGTACAAAGTGAAACAGATTACCATGTTTGACGTTTTGGACTTTTTCCTTTGAGGAAGGGCTCAGTCTGTAGTCTGCCAAACCTTGGATCATACCTTTAGTACTAGTTGAAATTTTGACGCACAGTATGACCAAAATGTTTTCGGTGATATTTCCATTTGCACAAAGAAACCGTCACAACATTGTAGATCTCTACACTTCGCTATACTTCACTACAAAACATCGAACATAAAAAACATTACAAAGGCCAAAACTCACGATTGCATGATTTGCCATTCCAAACATTTCTTTGCTTCAAACATCAATTGTGTGTACTCCAAACGTTTATAAATTGCTTATATATTAAATTTCTGTAAAGAAAAATAAACCGGGATATAACAAAGACACTGTCGTTAAGGAATATGATCCCATTGTCCTGTCAGTTAAAGTATTCGCTGTTTCCACTTTCTACACAAATAATGTTTAAATTTGAGAATACTCACAAGAAATACGAAAATGAGGAAACACCTTTTCAAAAATCAAGGAAGTTGATGCAGTATTGTTTTTTTTCTAAAATAAAATCACGGACATTCTATAATATCATAATCATATCATAGTCTCAAAACCCTTGGCCCCTATTGCTCTTACAATTTCATGTGTCGCTTGTAACATTAAAAAACCCAGCAAACTCGCTCAAGAACTTTTTTATCTTGCATTATTTAACACTGTTAGTGTATTATAAGTGCTTAGTAAAATATTTCCTAAACATAATGACTAGATACTGATAATTTCCACGTTTTAATCTCTTTGTCATCTCATGTTAAATTCTTTATGAATTAGTAATGTTTGTAGTTCACTGACACTGGGCTTAGTTTTAATCCTAGACCAAAGCTACTCACTCAAACTATAAATATCTAAGTTCGTGCAGATGTGTACTGACTGGTATAAAATAGCCACAAATGCCACAATCCTCATAAGTCATACGGCTTCTAGCATGACAACTATTGTCACCTGAGGTAAACTGGCCTGCACGCTGTACTGACAAAAACCGGTCATGGTTAACTCACCTCTTACTACTTTTTCATTATGAAAGATGATTTTTTATTCTTAACGAAAAACCACACTCATATTTTTCGTGTGATTAAAAGACACCTATTAATGGTCAGTCTGTTTTCGAATTTCTGACACGCAGAATTTATAAAAGATTTATTTATACAACTTATACAAGAGTATCAAGGAAGAAAACACTGTTATTTGCCAACTCCTGTAATTGTATTTTCAGATGTAATTACGTTTTGACAATAAATAACAAGAATTTCAAGAACTCCTTGAATCGCATTTATAAGAGAACCTGCTTCGTCAGCTTCATATCTAAACTTTATATGCATTATGACTATCATGGTCACCTTACTACCAAACCCTCTTTTCTTACAGTATGTCTATTATTGTAACTTCCATACCAAGCTCTGTGATACACTTATATAGTATGACTATTATGGTCAACTCGCTTCCAAACTCTATAACATTTCCCTACGGTATGACAAGTATGGTCACCTCACTACCAAACTCTATAACCTTTCTCAACAGTATGACAATAATGGTCATCTTACTACCAAACTCTATAACATTTACCTACAGTATGACAAGTATGGTCACCCCACTACCAAACTCTATTACCTTTCCCAACAGTAAGACAAGTATGGTCACCTCACTACCAAACTCTATAACATTTACCTACAGTATGATAAGTATGATCACCTCACTACCAAACTCTATAACATTTCCCTCCAGTATGACAAGTATGGTCACCTCACTATCAAACTCTTTAACATTTCCCTCCAGTATGACAATATTGGTCACCTCAGTAACAAACTCTATAACATTTACATACAGTATGATGAGTATGGTCACCTCACTACCAAACTCTATAACATTTACCTACAGTATGAAAAGTATGGTCACCTCACTACCAAACTCTATAACATTTCCCTCCAGTATGACAAGTATGGTCACCTCACTACCTAACTCTATAACATTTACATACAGTATGATAAGTATGGTCACCTCACTACCAAACTCTATAACATTTACATACAGTATGATAAGTATGGTCCCCTCACTACCAACCTCTATAACATTTACCTACAGTATGACAAGTATGGTCACCTCACTACCAAATTCTTTAACATTTCCCTCCAGTATGACAATAATGGTCAACTCACTACCAAACTCTATAACATTTCCCTAAAGTGTGACGATAATTATCATCCATCCCATTACCAAACTATATAAACATTTACCTTTTATATGGCAATAATAGTTTCTTCACTTCCAACTCTACTGTTAGCTTTCCTTTTCTCAGTAGTAACATACATGTATCGGCTTTCAATAGTTATTGGGGTTTAATGTTACAATATGTATTATATTGTCGTCATTAGGACCTTATGTGTTATAATGTCAACGTTGATATGATGTTTATATATATTTCATTCAAATTAGCAGTCAAATATACAGCTTAAAGAAAATTACGAATCGTTTTAATTCATCTTTCATTTTGGTTTTCTCCTTTACTCTATTTTCCCCAAAAAAGAAAATGATTTTAGGTCAAAACAAGGAGTATTAATTATTTGTATACTCTGAAATTGTGGTGATACAACAAGAAACAAATAGCAGCCTTGATTGTATGTCAACAGGTTTGGAGTGACACACTGGCAGGAAAAGCGTTTGGAGAAGCACGGTCGTGTACCTACAATGGAGCACGCTCTACGTTCGGCGAGAATAAGTTTTTTGAGGAGATGTACAGGGATACTGACGATATAATGGTGGGCAAAGCACTTGACACCTGGTTCTCTGAGAAAAGGTCATGGGAGCGTTACCCTGGGTGTGCAGAGTCTTGTCAATATACACAGGTAAGTAAGTTCAGTGGATCAATGTCAGATAATGAGAATTCAGAATATAGAAATAACAAAATGTTAACGTACTTTAATGTATATTAGAACCAAAATCGATCAAATTTTCTAATTTCTGAACAAGGAAATGATATTAAAATGGCAATAATGAAATTTGCTTTTAAAACAAATTCGAAATAAAATCCCAATATGTACTCATTATATTTATATATTACTTACATCAAATCAAACCTTATATTTATACTAAGGTATATGTAACATCAAATTAATTTAGCATTTATAAATGGCTATCAGCAAAAACAGCATTACATTTTTTTAAATTACTTTATTTAGATTGATCACGACATGATTTACATGAATAACATCAAATTAATCATAATGTTCATGCTTATCGCAAAATGAACATTTTCTTAATTTTTAAACGATCATAATCAAAATATCCATTGTGTTTATACATGGCTACATTGTGATATATAATTCACCATTATATGTATACATGGCTACACAATAATATCAAATTTAACATTACATTTAACATGGCTACATAATAATATCAAATTCGCCATTACAGTTATGCATGGCTACATTGTACTATCAAATTTAACATTACATTTATACATGGCTACATTGTGATATATAATTCACCATTATATTTATACATGGCTACACAATAATATCAAATTCGCCATTACAGTTAGGCATGGCTACATTGTATTATCAAATTTAACATTACATTTATACATGGCTACATTGTGATATATAATTCACCATTATATTTATACATGGCTACACAATAATATCAAATTCACCATTACAGTTATACATGGCTATAGTGTTATATCAAATTCACCATTACAGTAATACATGGCTACATTGTATTATCAAATTCACCATTACAGTAATACATGGCTACATTGTACTATCAAATTCACCATTACAGTAATACATGGCTACATTGTACTATCAAATTCACCATTACAGTAATACATGGCTACATTGTACTATCAAATTCACCATTACAGTAATACATGGCTACATTGTACTATCAAATTCACCATTACAGTAATACATGGCTACATTGTACTATCAAATTCACCATTACAGTAATACATGGCTACATTGTACTATCAAATTCACCATTACAGTAATACATGGCTACATTGTACTATCAAATTCACCATGACAGTAATACATGGCTACATTGTACTATCAAATTCACCATTACAGTAATACATGGCTACATTGTAATATCAAATTCACCATGACAGTAATACATGGCTACATTGTACTATCAAATTCACCATTACAGTAATACATGGCTACATTGTAATATAAAATTCACCATAACAGTAATACATGGCTACCTTGTAATACAAAATTCACCATAACAGTTATACATGGCTACATTGTACTATCAAATTCACCATTACAGTAATACATGGCTACATTGTACTATCAAATTCACCATTACTGTAATATAGGCTGACATTTTTATATCAATATTGTTTATGCAATATATATGGCTGTATTTTAATATCAATATTACCATTACATTTATACATGGCTACATAGTCATATAATAAATTTACCCTTACATTTAACAGGCTATATTGTTATATCAAATTCACCATAACAGTAATACATGGCTACATTGTAATATCAAATTCACCATTACAGTAATACATGGCTACATTGTAATATAATAAATTTACCCTTACATTTAACAGGCTTTATTGTTATATCAAATTCACCATTACAGTAATACATGGCTACATTGTAATATCAAATTCACCGTTTCATTAATACATGGCTGCATTTTAACATCAAAATAATCAAAACATTTATACTTTGCAAACATCAAATGAATCAACACTACCATTTTGTCTATCTTTATGAATCAACACTACGTTTTTGTCTATCTTATGAATCAACACTGTAATACATGGCTACATTGTAATATCAAATTCGCCGTTTCATTAATACATGGCTGCATTTTAACATCAAAACAATCAAAACATTTATACTTTGCAAACATCAAATGAATCAACACTACCACTTTGTCTATCTTTATGAATCAACACTCCCATTTTGTCTATCTTTATGAATCAACACTACCATTTTGTCTAGCTTTATGAATCAACACTACGTTTTTGTCTTTCTTATGAATCAACACTACGTTTTTGTCTATATTATGAGTCAACACTACGTATTTGTCTATCTTATGAATCAACTTCACCATTACAGTAATACATGGCTACATTGTAATATAATAAATTTACCCTTACATTTAACAGGCTTTATTGTTATATCAAATTCACCATTACAGTAATACATGGCTACATTGTAATATCAAATTCGCCGTTTCATTAATACATGGCTGCATTTTAACATCAAAACAATCAAAACATTTATACTTTGCAAAAATCAAATGAATCAACACTACCATTTTGTCTATCTTTCTGAATCAACACTACGTTTTTTTCTATCTTATGAATCAACACTAAGTTTTTTTCTATCTTATGAATCAACCCTACGTTTTTTTCTATCTTATGAATCAGCACTACGTTTTTTTCTATCTTATGAATCAGCACTACGTTTTTTTCTATCTTATGAATCAACCCTACGTTTATGTCTATCTTATGAATCAACACTACGTATTTGTGTATCTTATGAATCAACACTACGTTTTAGTCTATCTTATGAATCAACACTACGGTTTTGTCTATCTTATGAATCAACACTAGGTATTTGTCTATCTTATGAATCAACACTAGGTATTTGTCTATCTTATGAATCAACACTACGCTTTTGTCTATCTTATGAATCAACACCACGTTTTTGTCTATCTTATGAATCAACACTACGCTTTTGTCTATATTATGAATCAACACTACGTATTTGTGTATCTTATGAATCAACACTACGTTTTAGTCTATCTTATGAATCAACACTACGGTTTTGTCTATCTTTATGAATCAACACCACGTTTTTGTCTATCTTTATGAATCAACACCACGTTTTTGTCTATCTTATGAATCAACACTAGGTATTTGTCTATCTTATGAATCAACTTCACCATTACAGTAATACATGGCTACATTGTACTATCAAATTCACCATTACAGTAATACATTGCTACATTGTAATATCAAATTCACCGTTTCATTAATACATGGCTGCAGGGGAACATCAAAATAATCAAAACATTTATACTTTGCAAAAATCAAATGAATCAACACTACCATTTTGTCTAGCTTTATGAATCAACACTACGTTTTTGTCTATATTATGGATCAACACTACGTATTTGTCTATCTTAAGAATCAACTGTACTATCAAATTCACCATTACAGTAATACATGGCTACATTGTACTATCAAATTCACCATTACTTTAATATAGGCTGACATTTTTATATCAATATTGTTTATGCAATATATATGGCTGTATTTTAATATCAATATTACCATTACATTTATACATGGCTACATAGTCATATAATAAATTTACCCTTACATTTAACAGGCTTTATTGTTATATCAAATTCACCATTACAGTAATACATTGCTACATTGTAATATCAAATTCACCGTTTCATTAATACATGGCTGCATTTTAACATCAAAACAATCAAAACATTTATACTTTGCAAACATCAAATGAATCAACACTACCACTTTGTCTATCTTTATGAATCAACACCACGTTTTTGTCTATCTTATGAATCACCACTACGTTTTTGTCTATCTTATGAATCAACCCTACGTTTTTTTCTATCTTATGAATCAACACTATGTTTTTGTCTATCTTATGAATCAACACCGCGTTTTTGTCTATCTTAAGAATCAACACTACGTTTTTGTCTATCTTATTAATCAACACTACGTTTTTGTCTATCTTATTAATCAACACTACGTTTTTGTCTTTCTTATGAATCAACACTACGTTTTTTGCTATCTTATGAATCAACACTACGTTTTAGTCTATCTTATGAATCAACACTACGCTTTTGTCTATCTTATGAATCAACACTACGGTTTTGTCTATCTTTATGAATCAACACCACGTTTTTGTCTATCTTTATGAATCAACCCTTCCATTTTGTCTATCTTTATGAATCAACACTACGGTTTTGTCTATCTTTATGAATCAACACTACGTTTTTGTCTATCTTTATTAATCAACAAAGTCTTCTACGCATTTACACTGTACCTTTTCCAACATTTTTTTTTACATTAAAAACGTTTTTGATTGAACCACGATAAAGTCTTTTACTCCCGATATCTGTTTGGCTTCTTGATAAATAAAGATACATGTGTATGCGTTACACTGTCTCGATGTTAGTTTGACAAAGTCAGCCTTTCATTATTTTAGATGGTATGGGCAGGGACAAAGAAGATTGGCTGTGCATTCAAGAAGTGTAACAATTTGAACATGAATGAAGAGTATGCTGTGAACGCCTGGTTCCTGATCTGTCTATATGACGAAAAGTAAGGCGGAAATACATGTATATGTGCTAAGTAAATCAGTTTAGCTCCTTGTTAACGATGCCAGGAAATGATTTACATTCTTATCAAATTTGGCTACATGGCTGAGATATCGACTCTCGGCTTTAATTCCTAAAGAGAGCAGGTTCCATATATGCTGTTATGTGATAAAGTTTAGCCTATTTTGAACAAGTCGATACGGAGAATTACAAGCATGTATATGTCTGCTCCAACTACAAAGATATGCTACGTAATTTAAACGGAGAACTAATGTTTTCGAAATGTCTTCCTTGTCCTGAGTTAAGCTATCGTATGCGCATTTTGATATTGATACGTTGTTCATAATATGTACATGTTATCATTGGAAAAGAGGGATTGTTAGGTTCGCGATTTTATGTTATACTTTAATAGTAGACATTATGGTGGTGTGGTAAATACTCGCAGTAAATTAGCGCGAATATATCCACACGCAAATATGTAAACGCAAATTATACAGAGTATAGATATTTAGAGTATATAGAATCCGGAACCATTACCAACACGACACTTGCCACATCACGATCAGTCTAAAGAGTCAAAACATAAAACTGCCATGCATCCATGACACAATTAAAGTAAAGAAATATCTAGGATATGTCATTAGTCCACCTTTTACATTTATATTCCTTGCCAAAGAATTTACTAAAGTATTTTCTTATTTATTAGACAGTATGGTAAATACTCGCAGTAAATTAGCGCGAATATATCCACACGCAAATATGTCATATACATGTTCACGAAGTGGTTAAAATAAGTTGACAGTTATTATACGACAGCAAGTAATTCTCTATAGAGAACAAAAGATGTAGAAACACAATAAGACATGTGTTTTTTCTCTATGTAATGTTATTGTGTGCTGCCCCGAGGCGTCAGAAACCGGCAGGATGATACCTAAACCTGGACGGTGACGAGGTACCGAGCGACATTTATCATGTGTTAAACCCTCGTGTAAATTACAAAGTTGTGTAAATGAGACATTCATATCAGAAACATATATAGAAGTTTGTTTGTCATAATAACATTATGCAACATACAGTAACAATAACGAAAAAAATATATAATAAGATTAATAAATTATTTCTCGAGGATGACTGTGTTGGTATATATAGTAATTGTAAATTGTAAGACACCAACATTGACAATAGGTTAATAAGTTTAAATGAAAAACAAACAGAGATGTTTGTTCTAATAAACCACAGACATGGAATTCCACTTAACCATCCTGTAATAATACGAAGAGACCATATCTGAAGAATTTGGTGGTGAAGTGTACAATTATTTATACCTGCTTTTGGAGTTTGCTTTTGTGTGTATGTTGATATATTCTACCTGCAACAACAACAAAAACGCAAAACGTCATTACAAAAACAAATCTATATAAGTAATACCAATATATCCTTCATCATAATTTTTTGAATTATTAAACTTTTATTTCTCATACTTTAATTAGAGGCAATGATGGAATACATTTGCCGTTCAGGAGAGGAAAAGCCTGTACACTCTGTTCAACAAATGAGATATGTAAGCAGGGTCTTTGTGCAAGTAAGTATTCTTACAAGTCGTAGGAAGCATGATTGGGTTTTTCACTTTATTCACTAATGATTTTTCATGTTCAATAAATCATATCCTGTTGTGCATACCGTTGACCATTTGTCATCGTTTCTCATGGAAGAAGTCATTAATATTCCGTCGTGAAATGTACGTCGTTAACAGTTTAAGTCAGGCTACATACAATGTATATTCCATTCATCAGTAGATAACGTCCATTAATTCGTGATTAATTCGTCTTTAATATGGGCGGCAAAAAGGCAGATGAAGGCAGACGTGTACGTAGTAATTTGAATATGTTTCAATATTACAGAATTACAAATTATTGTTTCAATATCTTCAGATTTTGTTTTAGTTTCATGCTTTTATAAGTACAATTTGATTTCATATATGTACAATCTCATATCAAAATTGATATTGATGCTATACATCTACTGCAATTTAACACTTTTCATATTACGTCAATACCGTGACTATGTTTTTTTATTTTATTTCAGACAATACTACACAGACAACGACTAATCAAGGAACTGCTAATGCCAACGTAAATGTAACGCATGCTACATCCCTCGCTAACAACACAGACGCAGATTTTTGGAAGCGAGTTCATCAAAAGGCATACGAGCAAAGTATGGAATACAACAGAGCAAATATGTCAAAGACGTCAACAGCGGACATAAGAATCAAAACCATGGGACAACCACAACAAACGCAACAGCAACAAAATGGAGTGAATGTTTATGACTTTTTTAAGCCAGTTACACCACCAAATATGGCCGCTGACCGAAACCTCAAGAATATCAAAACCAACAGTTTTATTCAGCAGTCAACGCAACAGGGTGGTAGGAAGAATCAGGGGTCGGACACATTTTACACCAACCAAAATGTTCCGGTACCGTCTGATAATGGAAACCATGGGTATATTCAACAAGGTGGTCAGCAGCAAAATGCTATGAGCAGACGTTACATGGGGCGACAGCAACAGCCCGGAACAAACGGTGGTTATCCAGGTCAACCTCAACAAATAAAAACAAACGGTGGTTACCCAGCTCAACCTCAACAAATAGAAGCAAACGGTGGTTATCCAGCTCAAACTCAACAAATAGAAACAAACGGTGGTTATCTTCATAAACCGCAACATTCTGGAAGAGTTGACAACCAGGACACTTCAAATACCTGGTCTATAAACCCGAATAGTGCCAGATCAAACGGACGTGCACAACACACTTACATCAACCAAGGAGGAAAAACTGTTCCGAGCCCCACTCAGCAAAGCATGAATGTTTTCGTTACAAGAGCTTTCCATGCAAATACCAAGGGTCGAAAAATGAACAAAAGCGAAAGTAGACATAACGGATTTACTCAAAGAACAAGGCAACCGGTGCATCCCACTAAAGCTACAGTTGCAGTAGGACCGTCCCAACTACCAGCAATGGAAACAGTTGGAAAGGAGTCGGCGGCAGGTGATATAAGTTTCAGAATGCCAGGTCCAACCGCCATTACAAGCTTTAATGACAACGGGTTCAACGGACAGTCCGGAAACAAGTTTTCCCGTAATATCAATATCAGAATTCCTGAACAGAGTCAACGTTTTAATAATAACAAAAGAGGACGAAACGGACAATCGTTCGATCAAAACAATAATAATAAAAATAACTGGGGACAAAATCAAAACCAACAGCTCAACGCTAACAGTCCCGGTCAAAATAACAGATTTAAATCAAAGCAATCTGTGCAATTTACTAGCAACAAAAATACTAATAATAAGTCATTCAAATCTAATCAATTCGTCCCGTTCAGCGAGTTAAAGAAGAACGCTCAGAATGGTTGGGATCCTAACAAAGTTGTTGTACCACACGATAGCGAGAACTCCAAATTCTCTTTGTGTAAGTATCCCCTTCTTATTTCTTTTTATGTTATGCATTTTAAGTATAGATATTTGTAGATTGTGAACTTGATTCGTGAATGTTTTCTTACCGAATGCTTTATTTTTTTTTATTTTGTGTCAACAATGACACATTTCTAGAGGATATAAATGTAACGGATTCCGATTGATTACCATTAAGTATTTCACGGCACAATATCGATATTTATCACGATTGCGAGGACTAAGTGAAAATATTGATATATTCTTCCATGCGAGTGATGCATGTTTTTGTATTCAACGGAAAACTATTTAATTTTTATTTATTACACTTTTAATGTAACAAACAGCAAATATTGCTGCATCAGAATAGTGCTTGGTGTAGGAGTGTAATATTTGACGCCACATTCGAATGAGGTAACGCTTGACAACAAAGCAGAGCGCCACTTTGAATAGGTTACTCAACGCTATTCTATCGTTTGCTATTATGTGGTAAGATTTCCAAACAAAAATGATATCAAATGTGTATTTATGTACATGTAAATACCACACTGTACGTTGCAACGATGCACCAAAACAGCCACTTATTCCGCCGTCGATTCAACTAAATTTGAAACTAAAAATCTACGCTGTGAATAAAAAATACCTGTCTAATTGGATAATGCTAAAAGAGATTTCTTAAAATGTGACTATATAACAGTTCGTACATTTTCACTTCATTGAAGTATTACTTTTTATAAAATTGATAATTTTCGATATTTTACTGGTGAAAATGTAATAAGTTATTAAAATATATTATTATTAGTGCTTTTATCCATAAACATCGAGTGATGATGTGGTCTTTTCATATACCTGTAAATGTTTCCAAAACCATTTTATCATTTTTTCCACTGTTTGGCTCCTATTGCCTAATTGCGATAATTCAGTACATACGGTCAACGTTTCGCTGCACTATGTCAATTTTGGATATACAGTAAAAAAAATCCTCTTCAGTCGTTTTGGACATAACTGTTACGTTATTGGGTATGATACTTCCGTTTAACAAGAAGCTCAATTGGTTAGAGCGACAATATCAATTGAGGTCCAGGGTTCGAATCCTGCTTCACCTCGCTTCATTTTAGCACTAAGAACCCAGTTGATTATGTTTTGTTTTTTTATTCTCTATTATTTCTTCATAAAAAGCCCCGCAATGAATGGTATTCTTTTCAGATTTGATTTATCAAAGTTATAGTGATGCCGGAAAACCAGTTTCAAATGTATATAGCTTGTTGCAGTTGTACGGGGATCCTTAAAACTTTATAAATAACCAACATTCATTATTTTGGTATATTACAGCGACTGATACAGGGAAGAAGAGCTTTGTTTTCAGTGGAGATCCACAGGGTATGTAATTGATTATCAAACGCCGGATTATATTTGTAGCTCTATCAATAACACGTCACAGGGTAGTTTGTATTTCATTTTTAGTATGGATAGTTCGAAATAAAAAAATGTTAAAACATAAATGAAACGAACGTTCTATAAATTATTTAGATATAATCAAACGATTTTAAAGAATAAAAAATAATGAACTTAAATCGTGAATATTTCATTGAACAGAAAAGTCAATACGTTAGCGTTCTGTGGTTTCTGTGACATAACAATTGGGCAACAACAGGAATACACGAGGTAATCAGCTACTTAAGACCGTGTATTAGCCTGTACCATTAAAGAATTTGCCTTACCGACAACTGTTGTTACATTAAAGTTAGAAGATGACATATAATCATCCAGATAGCATAAGTAGTCGGTACACATTCGTGTGTTCATCCAATAGTTTTTTCCAGTTCCCTTTCTCCTTCATTTTGTCCACTACAAGCATGCATTTTGCACACAGGGGAGGCCGTCAATAAATGACCATAGCTGTTGATAGGACGTTAAACAATACTATACCAAACCAAACCAATCCTTCATTTTGTCATAGAACAAAATACCTTATTAGTAACACGTACGTTACAACTCAAATACGGTGTAGTGAACTATATTAAATTCTTACATTAGGTGATGTATATTTAACTCATATCGTCGTTGTTATTAGCACAGTTATTATAATATTTCTGGTTTTTCCGAAGTTTCTCTACAACACGATTCCTGTGGTTGTACACATTCTGTCTGTATGTATGCGTCAGTACTGTATACAGGGAACAGTATGTACATTTTTTATGCCTGTGTGTGAATGATTATATACACCAACAATGAGTTATCATATCTGACAGGTGTAGTCCATTGATCTTTACCTGAATGACATTCCGATATGACTCCGAGGTATCGCTGTCCTGCATATGCCACGTTATGAAATAATATTTGTATTGGATAAACAGTAACTTAAGATATATTATACAATTTAATTGGCAATTTCGCCTTTTAAAAATAAATAGTATAAAGCATTCCAGGCACATTGTATTAATCGTCACAAAAATTAGAGAATTGGACAATTGAGCGTTGTATTTCGGTAGATGAAGACATTACGTAGTAAAATAGCCCAATTAACGTCCTAACATACCTTCCAATCTTCAATATATTTTCATCGATTGAAACTGTGTTTACCACATCTATGATCATGCCTTCCAAAACTCGTTCCAACTGTGCTAATCTATAACCATTACAACGTTAAATATTACATATATAATTTGTATATAATAATTAAAAATTACTACAGCTGTCAGATAGGTATGCACCATTTGTATTTCAATCTGTAGGTTGAACCGTCCCAATCTGTTTGTAATAAAGTAACAACCTTTCATTATAAATGTCCGTTCCATTATCATGATCATCGCGGTGTAAACATCAAACTTCATAAAATATATTCCTAAATTATTTTTGAACAGTAAAAGGAATTTGTGACCTTTTTATCTTCCCTTAAAACAAGAGAATACCAAGGTGTCTCCCAAACTATATTTCAAACTCAAAATTGATGCCACGAAATATGAACAAAAGAAATATTAATATTGGGACCATTGAAAAGGTACAAAGTCAATAAGACCAAGTGCTCCGAAAGAGTAAGCGTTTATCTAAACATTGAAAACACCTGCTACGTAAATAAATGTAATATGTAATATTACATCCGCTAAGCGAGATCTGGGGTAGTTAATCCAATACAACAATACATGTTGTGCACTACACCGTGTAATTCAGTATTTACTTCTATTTAGTCCATACATTCCAATAATGCTGAGTTTCACGATAAATCTACAAATGCCGTCATGTAATTATCATTTCTTTCAGAGATTGGTAACAGAAGTTCAATAATTCCACGCAAAGAAGTGCAAACAGCTGGTTTTCAAGCACAAAACAACGCTATTTACAATGACTACAACTACCAGAATAGTTACACAACACCAAGCGCAACAACATCAAGAACAACAACAACAACAACACCCAGTAAGTACTGAGAAACCGCGCCAAAACCATCACCACTGCTTCAATAGCAACCAGTAGGTACTGATTCATTAGTTACATAAAGTACTGACAGAGACTGATTACATCACTCCTACCAACACCAGACTATGTTAAATTCTTTTTTTACATTTTTACGTTTTAACCCCCTGCAGAGTCAAGGAAAGACTAGCACTGCTGAAGCCCATTATATATTATCCTATCAGGCGCCTAATGAAGAAACCATAATGGATATGTCCCCTCAATTTATCATTTGTAATCTCGATTTGTCTTTCTTACATATTTTTTTCTTTCTTTTCGATGTTATCCTCAGCCACGTATTGTTTTCTTAACAGTTAAAATGACGCAAACACCTTAAGAAATAAATGAATCCTTCGACGTTTAAACTAATTTCCATTTTTGCCAATTTTCGACCGTTCCATGACATTGTCGTAATAGTTGTTCAGTTTACACCGTGAAAGATACATGCATAGCCTGAAGTAGAAGCTGAACTTTGACATCGAGAAAATGTATCTGATTTATTTTCTGATGTGTGTTACAGGGGGCGTTTCTGGTAGCTGTGTTGACACAGACCCCTACTGTGAGGGCTGGGTAGTATATTGCAAGGACAACATACATGTGTTTGAGAACTGCCGGAAGACATGTGGCACTTGTTCAATACCTCCACCACCAGGTAGGTAACTCAAACGGATTGGCCAATATCTTTTATGATATGATTTGTTGACAGTTTCGATGTGTTTAACCTTTTTATAACATTAATCTCCTTAATACATGTATTTGTAACATCAGTAAACGTACTCATGCCTTTCGTAAAGAAAATAATTATTCTCAAACTATTTATTAGGTTTATGTTGGTTAAAAGAGCCGTGTTAAACCAGATTTCATTGGTGTGTTTGGTTAAACTTGAAAATGTTTGCCCAGTGAAACTTTTGCACTTCGCACATGACATATATTTTCGGTCAATGTTAATTCCCCGCTTCACATTTAATTCCTTTGTATAAAATGCAGTGTACTTATATTCTCTGTAATGATAAATTCGCCCTCATTACAGATGACTAATAGGGCGATAATCAAACTGCAGCAAAAATGTCCAGTATATGTTTTAACAGTCTCAAATACGGGTTGCGAAATATAAAGGACAGAGCATTCTGCTTTTAGCATTGCTTTAATTGACAACAAGAAATAATGCAGACATGATAATGAAAAAGATAACTTATTCTTTTAGTTAGTCGAATTCCATAGGCATCGGAATAGTTTGCTATTATTAGATGTACACGTGTTGTATTGCACTACGTCCCTAATCATACAGTCACGTAATTCCCATATCACCTGACAAACTGCAAATGATAAATACACGTCAATCTTCAACTTTACGTCACTTTGTGAATACAATACACATGACGAGATTGAATGACATTTACATATCCTGTTCTAATTATCCTAATGGGGGCAATGATTACAAAGAACGAGTTATGACAGGTAAAACCTACCAAACCATGATTCCCTGTCACTATTACACCACACCACCGTTAATCGTGTGCCATATGACTGAATGTACGGCGTAGGTCTCAGTTGTAAGATTGTAGTGGCGACGTGTTTTACCTTAAGCTGCCATGTTTACTTTAGGTCATGACTAACGAACTGTTTAATCATTTTAATGAGTTATTTGCATTGTTCTCTTTTTTTTACTAATAATTTCGTTTTATTGTTATTTTTAAAGAGCCATGTATGTCAAAATGTCCTACTCTTCTGTATGGATGTCAGTTAACAAAGACCGTAGGCATTTGCTTATTTTTACTTTTTAGCTTGCAGTGAAAATCATTTTCTGACGTTGACGTCACGAATTTGTCATTACTAAATGTATGATTGGAATGACCTTATGATTTTTTAACACTTACACAATAATGCGGTGCCGTTGTTTTATGATACAAGTAATAGATTAAGTATGCAAGCAACAAAAGTTATTTAATGTCTTGTCATCGGTATTGTGATGAATTAACCTTTAATACCGGTAATTGTCTGTGTCGATGATGCTGTCATCACATGACCAGTGGTCTAACACGTGAGTGATCTTTAACAATCACTGCGGATTCCAAACTACATTTGGTTTCATAGTCGTCTGGTCAATCAAATATGCAATTTACGTGCTGCACCTGTTACCTTACACTTTGCTGTTGCGTAGAGGTAAATTGTGAAAAATACTTAAACATGTGGTACATTTTAATTGTTAGCGATTCATTATGGTATATATATTGCCCGTGCAATCTATCCCACTTAAACCCCAAATGTACAGAACATTTCAATTGTTAGAAGGTAGAAACACTATATAAACTGTAATTAAAGACTCTCATAATTAAGCTGGTGCATCGTATGAGCAGTACAACGAATCATTACTGTCCACTTTCTTGCTACTGTTTTGGAGAGTAGAGTTACCCTAAAATACTTATATAACCAATAAACTACCATAAATTACCATACTTTTGTTTAACATACAAACAAGCGAACTGTATCTCTACTTTCGTTTATATAATTACACTGAAAGATGAACACAGTACAACATCAACAAAAATCACACTTCACCATCAAGCTGGTTTGTCCTTCCAGGACTCAGCAGTGATTCTATAACGCTATATACAACAAAATAAATGTCTAGATTTAAACAATCACTGACTTATTTCCTTTGCTTTTTTCTTCTCAGACGCACAACCTACCATGTCGTCCAACTACGGTCGGGCAGCTATCGCAAGTCAGTCAGACCAAGGAGCGGGGACTTGGAATTTTCAGCAGCAGACAACTGCTAGAACAACTTCTCACCGGCTGGCCAATTTGTGGATAACATTTCCTCCAAATACCACTACAACCACCACCACCACCACCACTACCACTGCCGCGCCTCCAAACACAACGGTAAAATGGACAACGACATATAATAGGGCTCCCGTCGCTACAACAACCCCGGGCCAGCAATGGAATAACAATGCTGGTGGCGGTTGGAACTCTGCACCTCCGCGATGGGAGACGCAAACAATTCAGCCACAGCAGCAGCCTTCTCAGAATCAACAGGGTTATCAATATAATTCGCAACAACAGCAATCCTTTGAACAGCAATCACCTTATCAAGAGCAACCTCAACAACAGTCTCCGGGAAGACGATCCTCTTATCAGCAATCCGGTTATCAGCAATCTCCGACAAAGCTTCCTCCTAACTACCAATTTCCGCCACAACAGAAACTCCCCAAACAAGTATCCTCCCAACAACCACCTTTGCAACAACGATCTTCCCAGCAGCAGCAGCAGCATCGCCCTACCTCTCAACATAACCGGCATAATCAGAAACCGATGATGCAACAGGCACAACAAGGAAAGCAACAAACTCAACAACGAAACCAACATATTCAGCGCCCTAACCAGCGCCCTAACCAGCGCCCTAACCAGCGCCGTAATCAACGCAACCCCCGTAACAAACGGCCAAGGAACCCATCAAGGCTTCGGAAACAGAAAAATAACAAAAATATACTCACGAATTATTCTCCCTGGGGACCTGGGGGAAACAATGCTGGGAAAGCGTTCCTACCAGCCCCCACAACGACAACACAAAGGCCGACCACGACTACAGGAGGCTGGGTGACTATTGATTCAAAGACGTTACAGATACTGGAAAAGAACGCGACACTTCCGAAAACAGGAACCGTTGTTGATAAGGTGACGACTGTGTCTCCTGCAAAACATTCCCCATCAACGCATCGACCTGCACCTCATCCTCCCGCACATCACCAACCTCCGCCCCATCATCCCACACATCACCAACCTCCGCCCCATCCTCCCGCACATCACCAACCTCCGCCCCATCCTACCGCACATCACCAACCTCCGCCCCATCCTCCTGCACATCATCAACCCCCACCCCATCATCCCGTTCATCCTCAGTCCGAGCCTCATCCATCCCCTCCCCATCAGACTGCGACACATCCGACCCCTCATTATCAACCTGAACCCCATCTCGGAACGCAGCCATTCTTTCCACCATCTCCACCTCCGACCCCGCCGTTTAATCCCTTTTTTACGCCCTGTGATGATGCGGATGCACAGTGTCACACATGGACAAGTTACTGTGGGCAAAATCAGTATGTGGATCAGAATTGCCCCTACACATGCGGACGCTGTAACCAATTTATGTTTTAGTAAGACTACACTTGGTGACTAAACCGGGCTGGGCACTCTAGAAGGCATTGGTAGTGATCTTGTTACCGACAGCATAAATATGCATATATGATAATGGCAGTATGTTGGTCGTGTTTAGGTGAGGGTAAATTTATATTGTTACGAGTGACTTGAAAGCCTTGCAAATTAGTGTATACAATGTATACATTTACAGGTATATACTCGCGCGTTTCATGAGCCCCTGCTGATGACGCTGTTAATTCGATTGCAACTTAATTTCACGTTAGGATGCTGTTGGAGAAAAATAAACAGTCACCCATAATGGATTAAGACAAGACAGTATAGAAGTTTAGCACTCATCAGATTTTCTTGCTAAACTTCGAAAAGCTTACCATCGGGTCGAGATTTATTAGTCTGTGTACTTCACACGAGGACGTGTATATCCATCCAGGAAAGATAAATAATAATAGCATATGGCTTTGCGAAGAGCACAATATACCAGCCTCCACGTGCCATATGTGCTAAACGATCAGTGGAATTATTCTTCAACAAATACATAGAGTTTGAACTGACGTTTTGGTAGCTAATGAGGCGAGAAAGATATACATGTATTTGCTAACAGATGAGCGACTGTGTTTGTGAGTTTTGTTTGCATGCGTTCGGAAATTATGTTATTTTTGCAGATTGTAAACACAAATAATGTTAGCCGCTAACCTGATTATGTATATCTATAGGGTTACCTTGGGCGGTTAAACAGTTCAAAGCAAATCTATAATACATTTTTTAATTCCTTGTTGGGCGAATTCAACTATGCAAATGTGGACTACTGCGTCTCACGTCGTTGGCACATTTCTGTGATACTTCGTATATTTCATGAAGAAAGATAATAACCTGATGTCATGTGGTTATGTCCATTTATCACGTGGATAGAATAAAAAAATATCACAAAATTTCATGTGTATATGTTTTTGTTTTTAATATAGTTTCTAGCAATATATATATGCCGTCAAATCGACACGCTCTAGTAGTGTATATGTAGTCAAGTTAAACGCATTACCAGGATCCAGTCCAATAGAATATGTAGTGTATACACATGGGTAGCTTTATTTGCAACATTTCACGGGAAGGTCTTTAAATGTAAAGTAAACATCATGCATGCAAAAAACTAAACACATAAACATATTACTGTTTGTACAGGTACGCCAGTAAAAACTGGGACTGCGTTCGAAAAAAGCAATACTGTTGCTTTTTGCAAACAAACACGCCACGCCAATTCCGTCTGAATGACAGCTACAGTGATCACGTGACTCTTCAGTCACAACAAAATGGTATCGTAAGACCTAAGCATTGTGGTTCTTGTTTAATGCTTTAAATCTGGAGATTAACTGCCAATAGACGAAGGGTTTGTCATGAAATCGAGTCGATAGATACGTATAGAAAATATTTATGCCTCTCTCATGTAAAATATATTCACAATCTAATAATTTGATGTTTCACAGCCAGCGGAGCACAATTCTTAGACTGTTTTATGAGGACCATCGTAGAATTATTTATATGGTCGAATGTGTTACAAAAGTTTACATATACATCAATACAGTAATTTATCAGGGGAGCATGAATAATAATTGCATGGCAAAAAGTGACCAGTTTGCAAATTTCTAATGCACACAGCATTGAAGAAAACTGCATGCAACGATACCCTATAACAAAACGTTACATGAATATAACGATTTGTAGTGTTGGATATTTCTGTAGGATACCTTTACTCCGTCGCTACCAAAGTCCGCTTTAAGAGAGGAACATTTCCATTCTATCCTCCACAACACCTTCAACTACTGTTTCACCCCTGCTCGAGACTAAGCAAACATTTCGTCGACTTCTTTCAAAACCTATAACAGTTTTGGCTTGCCAACCTTTCTCAGCATAAAACTCCAACTCGAGACATTTCTTGCCACGCGCATACCACTACCATGATAAGTCGATCCTGTAGTTTGCAAATGAGTTTGGACCAAACGAAACTAATACAACTTAATTTAAATTATATATCTGGAACGCAACACTCTCCTGGTGTTTAATAAGAGGAAATGTAATAACGGCATGTTCCATTTATGATATAATTTCAATTCCTGTGATGCAAGGACAAATAAAGACAAACGATGCGGCCTTAATGTAAAGATGTTTATGACAAAGGAGCACGCTCCATACCTCTCGTAGGGTGACTTGTAATTGCTAACCTAGACTATCCGTACTTCCGCAGTGCGTACAAAGGTTTCAAAACTAGTCCATACGTCACGCGTACAAAAAAAATCAGACCTAGTTCGTAAATCGAAGCGTTTGTACCAAATAACAAGGCCCGTATGGCAGGAAATCGTCTCATACTCGAATCGAGTTTCTAAGTTAATGCCTAATTTTCGTGTGCCAGTGATAAATTCTTAAAAAAATTGTCAATGTTATGTAAGAAATTTGGAGAGACCTTAAGCTGAATACTACACTTGGCTCTTTGACCGTATTTTAGATTTTAGAGATTTTAAAGATTTTCAAGAAAGTCGGCTTGACCACAGAATTCCTGCTTGAGTATTGGAAATGGTTTCATGAATACGGCCGGGCACATGGCCCCCTTCCTTGTCACTCGCTTAAATCATGTGACTTAGCCAAATCATAAAGTGTTACATGTAGCATAGCAAACTGTATAAGGCTTTCAGTCAGTCTCTCCAAACCATGGACAGATCGTATTTTTTATTCATTTGTAACAGAACAAATCGTTTTTGTTTGAGCAGAGAGTTTGAGCAAAGAGTCTAGGTTAGAGCACGAGACCTGATTACGCCCCCGAATTCCACTGGTACGTTCAAAAGGTAGAAATAAGATTGTTTTACAACCAGAAAGATGTTTTGGTTTGATATCGCGTAACAGCGCTGTTTATCTAAACTGATTCGCTGAAGCTGGTGTCACTTTATTACACTTCAATCCAACTAGATTAAAATAGGTTAACTGTTCATATCAGAGCCGACTCTACCATATTTACCACGTCGTGCACTAAACCGACCAACTATTAAATCTCCATTACGTAAGAAGCACGAACATACACACATCATATCGTGGTAAGCTGGTAAAATGATAACACTAAATCTTGACAGAATGCCTTCACTTGACGCCGGTAACGATTGCGCTGAGGGTTTCACCAGCTTTACCGGCAGCCTGATGGAGCGCGGGCTCACGCGCCAAAACCACCGAACACTTGAAACGACAACATAAATAGCACACGTACTCATAGTGTTACTTATGAAACGTATGTTAGAGTATCAGAACAAATCGTCACATATATACTGTATTACTAGGGCGAAGGATTATGAAACATAAAAAATATACGCTACTATTCATTTCAAAATATGTTTTAATTTTGTTATTTAGTATTAATAATGAAATGTTCGTAGTAAATTTTGAAGAATTTTACATGTATGTACAACTTGATGTATCAGATCGTAGTTGTATTCAACATAGATGTCAGATCTCAGATAGTGTAGGACTCGGCGAACAAAATAAGTCTTAAGAATGGTTCTTATAAAAATGAATTTAAAATAAACACGTTCGATGTTGAGTCAACGTCTGCACAGCTCCAAGGAAAATCAAATATTTTCACGAACTGTAGAGTAAATCAGCTGTTCCAGAAAGTGAAATTCTAAAGTAAACCCCCGTCAAAATTATGGATGTAAACCAAAAATACAAAACTAATCACTGATTATACGGCTGTTAATTTGATTATACGGCTGTAAATATGATTATACGGCTGTAAATATGACTATCTTATTTTATTCAGCTTGCCAAAAATAAATTTCACTGCATAATTAAGCTGTTATGTCCTGTCAGGACTAATTGGTAATGATAAGGGCCAAAGGGTGGAAATTCAAATTGGTTTAGTCGAAACAAGGGAGCTGCATAACACATCTTAGTTATAAATGAATTTAAAATAAAATACAGGTGCACTGGTTAATTTCAAAGTTATAACGAGTAAAGTGTGAAATGTCAAGAACCGTGCCATAATTCAAATGAAATAACTATGGTCACCAAGGTTACGCCAAACCTCCCGGGCTAAGAAATCCACCAGCAGAGTCTACCACCTGTATCTTTAAAGATTGTTCCTTTAAAATTTGGTTATAGATACAGTATGCTAAACATGGAATTAAATATGAGACTGGCTAACCATCTGTAAGCATAATAATACAATGCCCAAGCTGTAAATAGATCTCCGACGTCTACCTATCGATTGGTGGTGTGTTTCCTGTACGAGGTATCTAGATTTTTACAGCCTCTTACTTCCGTTGATGCAATGCAATTTCATACTAAATAAAGCCATTCTTTCCTTAATGTCTGAAAGTATAAGATGCTGGCAGTGTGATACAAATATTGACGTAAGGACAAACACATGATGAGAGTAGTCACCTGTGTTTTATTCATATGCCTTTGCCTGTAATAAACGTATGTTGAGGCTACTTAAGGGTTACTATAACCTGGACACAGAGCACGGCAGCATTATACTCCATCCGGTCACGGGCTAACCAGGCCTTACTGTCACTGAGCACAGGGACCTGATAATTCGTCAGCCACGTGCCGAAACCTGTGGTGTGATTCCGAAAAACACAGCCAGTACCCNTTTATTATATCGAATAAAAAAATCCCGGCCAAAAATAAAAAAAAATATCTTTAAACACTAATCTGTCACACTATACCACTGAATATATTCTATAGTTTAATAATCTGTCATTCTACAACATTATACATAATAGAAGGGAAATATAATCTGTCTGTACTTCCATACTGAAAATAATGGTATTGTACTAATATGTTACATTACAGCACTGTTAATGCTGTACATATTGTTAGAAAACAATTATCTTCACCACTGTAATACTGTACAAGCTGGCAGTACGAAATTGTGTCGCACTAAAATTTTGGGCATAACAGTAGTGCAATATAATATGTGACACTACATCTTTAGAACACAATGGTATCAAAATATCTATAAAAACAATTAACAAAGTGTTAATATATTTAAACGATGCTAGTAAAGAGACTGCCAGAAGAATTCTCAAAAATATTGACATAAAATAGTTCACAGAAACGTTATTAACAAATCGAGACCTACGTAGACCAGTCGCCAGGTACTGACCGTAGGTCGGTGGTTTTTCTCCAGGAACTCCGGTTTTCCTCCACCACCAAAACCTGGTACATCTTTAAATGACCATAACTGTTAATAGGACGTAAAACACAAACAAACCAAAAATATTTATTTGCATGGCAAGAGAAAAAATGCAGCTCTTTACAACAGATGTCAAATACGAATTGATACATGCGTAACATCATACAGAATTGTAGCAAACGTGTGAGATAGGGTATACGTAGCATGGTGCTATAGTTATGATATTGTCCAGGTATGATGCATTTACTTCGTAAATATTTTATCGCCAAGGTAAACTTAATATAATCATTGACTAATTTAATTAAAAGCCTATTACTGATATATATATATAGATATATAGCCTTCCCATTAAATGTAATAGTATATGTAGAACGAGTTTTGCAGTTGTCTGTTTGCACATGCGTTCAGAGCAGGAGTAAAACTATAAGTAAAACCTGACACAGGAATGTTATAATTGTTATTCAATGGAAATTTGTTGTGTTTTCTGTGACGATAAAATGAACTTGTGAATAAACTATATCTCCCTGGTACATGTAAGTCATACATAGGTTAACTGCGTTAATCATAGGTTATATTGATTTATTATATAGCACAAAAAAAAGGACTTAATAAAATAAGGCGTCTTCTTTTGACAGTTGCGGTGACACAAATCCCTGAAAATATATACATGTATTTGTATATATGGCCGTATAACTTAAACTCATGGCAATAATTGAATGATATTATCAAAAATAAGTAGATCAGAC